AAAAAAAAAAAAAAAAAAAAAAAAAAAAAAACCTTTTCTGATCTTTATATATTGGTGCTATTTTTTTATTTTTTTTTTGGAGGAGAAACATAAAAAATTTGGAGTTTTTAATACATTTGGTGTCGGAATTCTTGATTTTTTTTAATAAAGGGCTTTTCTTTTTGTTTGGAATTTTTTGATTTCATGGCTGCTGGTACAGAAGTATCTGTTGAGACAGCAGTGGTGGAGATGGAGTACCCTGGTGACGTTGCTGTTGAGTATTCATCGACAGAAAACACAGACACTGCCAGTGACAAAAAGGCTAATTCCAATGCTAAGGAGTCTGGGGAAAGGGATGTAACTAGTGTTTTTAACGACTCTGGTTCAGATTCAAAATCAGAACTGCAAATGAAGGATATTGTTGACATGCTGAAGAAACTCAAGTTGAATCCCCTGGCCAAGGAATTCTTTCCTTCCTCTTATTATCACAGCGAGAAGGGAGCCAACAATTTTGTGTTAACGGATACAAACTCCGGCATTGATGGTTCCCCAATAAATCGTAGGGTATAAACTCTGTTTTCCATTTGATTTTACTATGCCCGTTGTTGAATTGATTGATTATACTATGTAATTCTTTTGGTGCTTGATATTTCATTGATTATTATCTTTTGTTTGGGCTTGTGCGTGTAATATAGAAATGAATTATTAGCTTCCATTTCATATATCTCTGGTTTGCAGATTTAATAGTTACCCAAAATAAAATTCCACTGCCTGGCAAAAAAAAAAAAGGTTTATAGAATTTATGGTGGATTCTGTCTGTGATTTGGTGGGTAAATTTTGGGACTTTCCATCATTTATTTATTTTATTTTATTAAACTATAAGAATTGATTGTTAATAATTCATTTATGGATATGGAGTTCTGATACATGTCTTGTCATAATCAAGCAATAAGTTTCCTAGCACTAACGATGTTATGGATGCCTAGAGCATTTATCTATGTGAAAAGATGATTCCCAACCATTTGCCTATTCTATTTGTTGAGATGAAATTAATACTTTTGCTTCTAAGTTGCATCCCTCGTGTCAGTTATGCCAAATTTGACACGTCTATCATTTGATGGATTTTCAACATTTTGGTTTTTTTCAAGAATGGATTGCTGCACTTGATTTAACAGACATTGATCATTTGGCATTCAATGTGCTAGATAGTCCACTGACTTCAGTTTATCGTTTTAGTTGTTGGCATCGGTTTTACACGTTCAACTTGGATAATTCACATCGAGATCATCATCTTGGTCATTGACAGTCTATTTCTCACGCATGGAGGCACACTAGATATGTATATATGCACGTGTATAAATATATCTGATTTATTAATGGAGCCAAACATTATCTTATCGGACAATTTAATCTTGTATTCTAAAATCCATTACATAGTCAATATTCAGATGGTTAAAAGTGTCATTACTATTATTTGACTTTAACTTATTTTTCACCTTGGTCTGAATCAGTGTTCTTCTAATGTCATAGTTACTGAGTTTTGAAAACTCTTATGCTTGCGTTCATGAGCATTTTCTTATTGCATGCTTTAATATCTAAAATTTTATGTTTTCTTAGAGAAGAAATAATCACAATCAGGGCAGGAGGAGAATGGGTGTTAGGACTTTCAGAGCTCAGAGAGAAGATAGTATTAGGCGAACAGTCTATGTCTCTGACATTGATCACAATGTAAGTTAAAAGCAACAAATTTCACTTAACTTATTGTAATCTTTCGGAATACATATTGATATAGTTTTTCGCATTGTCAAAAATAAGGTCACTGAAGAGCGGCTTGCTGCTTTATTCAGCTCTTGTGGGCAAGTAAGTTTCTTTCTCTGATATATGATGTATGAATTGTTCTTCCTGAATGCATACTATTTGTTTTCCTTGTACCCCAGCTTTTAGGATTATTTTCTGTAACCATAAAATATTGATAGTTCAAAAATGAAAATTTTCTAAATTAATAGCCAGTGCCAGACCATACATGAGATGTTTTGACCATATGTTATAGAATATGGTTTCGTATTATATTTTTAACACCAACTGGTTTCATATCTGAAATTGGTCTAGTGTAAATATAGAAAAATTAATGTTTTGCATAATGAAGATTAATGTCTAAACAACATAGAGGCGTGGTACCGTAAACTGAAATTTAGTGGTGCAATATTGTAAGGTGAAACAATTTAGTGTTGTGGTATTTTAACTTGAAGACAAGCGTCATTTATTTAGATTTAAGGTGAGGGCCATGTTGTGTAACAATGTGCTCCTTGTTATTTATGATGTATACGGTCTCTATTCATCATGTTGTGATGCCTTGATTGTTGATACCGTCATATCCAAAGGAGTAAGTAGTGTCCAACAAGGCATTTCTTTGATCTTGTTCACCAAATAATACTTGTATTTTAATCTTCTGCATTCTGGTGGGTGTCCGTAGTCTTATTGGATACTGCAATTCCCCTAACAGTTATCAGGAGATTGAGATAGATATGCATTTTCTTGCTTCTCATAAAGTGGTAACGAAAAAGACTTGCACCAACCAGTTCTATCCTCATGTTCCAAGGTTGCTTTTGTGGCCATATCTATGTATACTACCTTTGGTTACATGCTCTACTAACAAATAGACATATGCATGAGCGACATCTCTCTCTCTCTCTCTCTCTATGCTTGTGGGTTGGCTCTCCTCCCTCTCCTTTGCATAATCAAGCACTTCAAGTTGTATTTATGGATACACTTAATCTCTAGGAATGTAGCACTAAATAAAGACTAACCAAAATATAACATTTTTGTATGTTGTTGGTTGCTATTGCTGTAGGATTAGAAAAACAATAATGCTGTATTGTAAGGCTTTGATTTCCATTTGAAATCTTTTCTGCAAATTCAGTTTTGTGAGTTCCAAAATATTTTTTTGAAGCATTATTACCAATATCTTTGATTCCCTACCAGATGATAGTTTTTATCTGAAGAGCTTACTTGTGAGCTTACGCTTACTCTCAGCCTCTTTGATTTAGGTTTTGATTAGTCCTCATTGTTTCTAATGCTGATTTTCTGTAATTAGGTACTACGAGTTCTTCCATTGTTTCTTACGCTACATTGTGAAGTTTCCATATTCTCGTCTATTTCTTTTCAATAACTAATAAATGTTTCGAAGAAGCATTGAATTCAATTGGACCTGGAAATAAAAATTTTAAGTTATATCAAAGCTCTTTATCAAATATTGAATATCAACATGCAAAGATTTTGGAGATGTTATTACACATATGGTTACAGGGCTCTGTCTATTTCTCGAAGATGAGTTTTAGGTGGGTTTTGTTAATTGACTCAAGCATGATAACACTATGGTTCAGTAACTTCGTCTTACATATTTTCTTTTTCTTTCCTTCACAGTAAATATAACCATTTAAGAAGATTTCTGTATTTAAAAGTGGTGTTCTGGTTCCAATTACCTGATAGTAATTTTCCCATGGATTATCGTTTACTGACTGATGGTCATCTTATTACTGAGAATACGCCTAAGCAAAATTTTTTATTCATCATGGTTTTTCCAAGTGTTTCTTGATGATCAATATCAGTTTGTGGTCTAACAAGCACGGATTCTTCTTGGCTTGAGAATCAGTGTTGGATATGGTTCTCTGTGACTCGTTCTCTTAGACATTTTCAAAATCTTTGGACATTTGTTGGATATGGGGGTCTTGCTCTTAAACTATATGTTTGTTATTTTCTTTTTTAGACACTGTGATCTGAGAAAATGCTTGCATACACATTTAGACCCAATGCGATCATGGAAAAGGGGTTGGATTACGTTAGGGTTTGAGGAGGATAAAAAGAGGAGAAAGATATTAGACGGGGACCGATTACCACTGACTCATGCTACCTTATCATTGTTCGGATACCTGTTATGTTCTCTGTTAACTCCTATCAACTATTCTTCTGCCTTTTTTTCCCTTTTTTTCCCTACTCCCGAATTGCTCATTTTATTGACAAGAATCCTAGTTATTCTTTTTCTACCATTTTAACTACAATTAACTCTAGTATTCATTTTTCAATTTTTCTTTAGTTTCGAAGAATTTTTTGTGGATGAATTCAGTCCTTATTACGGACCAACTTCTCTGAAAAAATTGATGTCTTGAAAATAATGTCGCCTTGTATGTGCTCCTTGATTTCACCTTTTTATGTTATATAACATTCGATGTGTTGGTGACTCGGTTTATTATCTGTATTAATTAAAGTTCTAGATAATATGAAAGTAGCTTGCAACCTGGGTGGAATATGCTTTAGGTATTTTAAGGGATATAATAGTGGCTTTGAAGACATTACAGAAGTAGATGTTCTGCTCTTTCCTGAGGATGGTCCTTAATGTTTTCTCTGTAGATTCGTGGTACTTTTACCACATGACAAGCAACTTTCCCCTTCTCTTTGCGAAGAATAATTTTCCCCTGTGTGGTTTTTGGTGAATAGAACTGAAAACTTGAGCTACCAAATTGATGTTTACTATAATGATATATTTGACATTTGCTTCTCCTTCTCTTTCCACTTAATTGGCAGGTTGTTGATTGTCGAATTTGCGGCGATTCACACTCCCGTCTTCGTTTTGCTTTTGTTGAATTTTCGAACGAGTGTAAGTCAGATTTCTTTTTCCATTTTTCTTTCATTCAACGTTTAATGCTTGTCTGATGTCTGAAACCTGACTTTTCCATGGGGAACTAAAATTAACAGATTCTGCTCGAGCGTCCCTTACCCTTTGTGGGACACTGTTAGGTTTCTCTCCTGTTAAGGTGTTGCCTTCTAAAACTGCCATTCTTCCTGTGAATCCTACATTCCTTCCCAGGGTATGAGCAAATCTCCAGCATTGCTAATATTATTGAAATAATTGCTTAACATGCTTTTGTCCCTCCAGTTATTTGTTCTCATTTAGTATCTCATTTCTATATTATATCAATTTGGTTTGATTATCTATGCCAAAATTTTACAAATAGTCGGAAGACGAACGGGAGATGTGTGCCAGGACAATCTACTGTACCAATATTGATAAAATGGTATGCACAACTTGTCTGTTTTTTCAGTTTGATAAGTTTTTGCTTATGCTTCTCTACCTGTACTTGCTGTTTATCTGATGAAAATCTGCTGGCGAATGAGTGCTTTTATTCACAAATAAGTTAGAGAATAAATTATTTTTAAATATGTTCATTTGATGTATTTTGTCATAGCAGGTTTCTCAGGCTGATGTTAAGAATTTCTTTGAAACAAGATGTGGTCAGGTGTACCTAAAATTGCAAACATTGGGTTGGATTTGCTTATTGTTGACTTGGAAGTGTTTAATGACCAAATAGATCTCTGAATTGTAGGTTTCCCGCCTCAGGCTCTTGGGGGATCACATGCATTCAACACTGATTGCTTTTGTTGAATTTTCCATGGTATGCTTATTTATACTGAAATTACTACTGCATAAACTGCTTATGCACTTTTAGACGTGAGTATATGTGGGTAGAAAATTAACTGGATGACAGTGTAACATTAATTTTCTATAATAAGCTTCCTCTTTTTTTTTTTGGGGGGGGGGGGGGGGGGGGGGGGCC